GTTCTAAGTCGGGAAGAAAGCCTTTTAACTCAGCGAACTACTTTGAACTCTTTGTGAAACAGGTTCATTTCCGTTTCGGCTGCCATCTCTTAGAACGACCTACAGAACTGTTTCTTATTTTATAAAGATAATTGTGTATGGTTTGAAACCGCAGGAGGAAGTTGTTTACAGAATTAAAAACAAGTTGCTCACCTGCTAAAAGCAATTAATCAGATATATTTTACGACAACTCGAGTCGAATTTAAGCCAACAAATTAAAGTTGTGAAGTTCTTTTAAACTGCGATTTCATATCTTTATGGTGGCAAAATCAGAAGACATTTTTCTAAAACTTCCTTCACTGAGAGGAGGTAGTGGGATATGTTAATATATTTGCGCCCTTTGTCCCTTCTGAGCGGAATTTAATCGAGTGTCGTAAACTGAACCAAAACCAAAGGTATCGCTCTGGCAAATTTAATAAAACAAAAAAAGAACACAGGCAATCCAGTGAACCAATCAAAAATCAATGCAAATACATGTAACTGACTCGAAGGACGGGAAAATGGGTGTCATCGAGTCACACATTAGAGCATTTTCGAGTTACCTTTTAATTTTTGCCTTTCCTTCAAAACGAGTCTTATGCGAGGCTATTCATATACAGTCGAACCTCCGGTTGCGACCACCTCGCGTAAGCGACCACCTCTCCTCAGCGACCAAAATACCAAAAGTTTCAAAGTCAAATCACTATATTTGGAACCTCTTGTAAGCGACCGCGACTACTTTTAGAGCTCAGTAAAAGTTTGAAACTTTCCTTTGTTTTTAACCTCCCGTAAGCGACCACTTGACAGATAATGGAGCGAAAAATGGATAATAAGGTGATGTAACATTATCGTATTTCTTGCTAGTACGAGAAACGGAAATTTCTCAATGGGAAAAAGCGGATTTTTTCTCGAAATTGACTTTTACATGAAAAAAAACATTGTATCGGCATCGGCGCTTTGGTTAAGTCACGGCGGTTACCATATTCTAATGAGGAAAAATTTTGATCCGTTATGGTACAAGCTCTCGTAAGCTACCACCTTCCATAAGTGACATGGCAACTCGAAAGCTCATTGGCTACTTTGGTCACTGTACACAACTAAATATTGTTTCTTCTAGTTAATCTGTATTTGTATTTTTTTTTACGTCTCATTGTAAACCATCTTATGTTAAGTTGCTTTCTGTAAATAGTGTGCAATAATAAACTTTACTTGACTTGACCATAAGCGACCACCTATGCTTGACGTTTTGGGTGGTCGCTTACGGGAGGTTCGACTGTATGCCAAAAAATGTTTCACCTTCACAAATGAAACTCAGTTTAATATGACAATTAATATGACAACTTTTGCACGAGGACTCCTCCTGTAACAGAAGAAATAGGCCACTCGGACATTGTCTATTGGTTTTGATGGTACTTTTGATTGGATAACAAAGTGACGCGAATTTTTTAAACCCAATGACAAACGCTGTGACGTGTTTATTAAGCCCCTCCACCCCGCTTATAAGTCAGCCCAGTTATGGGCCCATGTACCTTTAAACAGAAAAAAACATCCGGTTATAAGCCCCCCCAGGATATAAGCCCCCTGCAACTTTCCTTGGTTTGAATTCGTTTTGTTATGATATTTTAAATAAAAAACCTATTTTGATCATAGCACATTTCCAGCGAAACGTTTTTTTTATTCCGGTTATAAGCCCTTCCGTTTATAAGCCTATCTAAAAGCCGTTATGAAGAGGGAGGGCTCTTAGATGTAGTTTTCATTACCATGTAATCTGTCCGATGACTTCAGTGCTTTGTATCTTTGTAACCAGAAATTACAAGCAATTCCGGATTGTCCCTTTTTTCCACCGGTATAAAAATTCAGTTCAACAAGCCTGCCAACCATCGTCGGTCATCGTACCGATTTGTCCGGTGAATTTGAGGTTTTCAATGGCTAATGCTCATTCTGACCGGCTGGGATGTTTCTCATGAAATCGGTCATGAAGTCAGTCATACGATAAATTAAACTGAAAACAACTGTCGTGTTTTGCTTTTACCACGAGAAATATGGGCCAAAACACGGCAAAAAGTCTTTCTCCGCTTATAAAACAACTAAAAACAGCCAAAAACAGCCATATTAAAAAATCGCCCTATAATGCATTGCAAACTCAGTATTTAGCACAGGCAATGATCCAGTTCAGTACAAAAGATATAAATGTATTGCGACAACAAGTATTTTTTGAAATAGAGGGATGATAATGTTGACATTATATTTACAACTTTTCATTATGTAAGGCTGTAAACAGAAAAATTATGAAATTACAGAATCATTCAGTTACTTTTATAATTTATACAGTGCCCCAAGGAAAGCACATTTCAGCGAGGCCAAATTCAAACCCTC